GCTAAAGAAGCTGCCTGCCAATGCAGGAGATACAAGAAAGGCATGTTCAATCCTTGGGTCATGAAGATCCCCTGGAGGAGGAAATGGCAACCCACTCCAGTATTCTTGCCTGGAAAATCTCATGGACAGAGCACCCTGGCAGGCTGCTGTCCATGGGACTGCAAAGACTCAGACATGACTAAAAACAACAAAAACAGCATCACAGTAGCTGGTACATAGCTTCTTTGAAAAGAGCATCCGATCCTATCAGACTAATCTCAGATCTTTCCTTCAAAGAACTGACTCTCAAATTTGTCTCTAAAAGCATCCCACTCCTGCCCCAGGGCGATCTCTTCTGCCCAGCTGAGCATCTCATTTTCACTTGGGGCTCCTCTTCAAGCCAGTTCTATGGTGGCAGAGGTTGATCTCAGTTGGCACAGGTGGACTGAGGTGGAAGGGTTTTTGAGGGGCTTGACAACACCCTATCTATGCCCAATTGACAAAGTGCTCCTCAATTTTATATGGACGTAGAAAAACTGTATTGTCTTGGACTGGGTGCTGCAGAACAGAAGCTTTAGTAACAGGTTGGAGTGTAGACACTAAACAATGTCAACAGGAGATAAGATGAAAATTATCCTACCAGCTTCATGACTTGTATTTACCATATGTTCTATCCCCACATAGAGCTTATTGTATTTTGGAGTTTACATAAGACTTACAGAAACATGTTTTATTTATATGTGATAGAGGAATCAAAGACCTTCTGGGGATATTTTTTCCTATCTTACTTGTTTAGGTCTATCAACTCAATTTCGGGAAATCTTTAGACAAGTTTGTTTATTGAGGGTAATGAACAAAGGCTGTGGACTCTGTGCATATGCCTTTGTCTCTCACAGCTCATAGTGATGATGTCATTACAATAGATGGTACATACGTCCTTTGAGAAGAGCATGCAATCCTACAGGACAAATCTCAGATCTATCCATTAAAGAGACAGCATTAAAGACATCTCTCTTGGTCAGTTCACCCTCAAAGACAGAGAATTTTCCACACCTAGTTGTGTATGGCTGGTGATAAATAAATATGGTGTCAATCATAATCTGTTGAATTGGCTTGGTTTTCCCGAGTCTCTCTTGTAATTCCTATTTGGGTAAGAAGTAGAGAACTTGACTAATATAAATACCACTTTTTGCGTCACATCCTTCACAACCTCCAGTCACCTTTTCGTAAGAAAAGGGCCAAATCTCCCGTTGGTTTAATGTCCCCAAAGTTGTCATTTCAAATGCTAAGATTAAAATATTATGAACATATCTCCTTTGAAGATAGAGATGGGAGTTTAATAATTCTATGCTCATCTGTTTTTATTCTAGAGAAATATAAGGAGTAAAATCTTCTTCTGGCTAGATAAGACTGACAGTACACAACTATCTATAATTTACTAAATCAAAGTGTACCTTTCAAAGAAAGCATATCCAGTGAGACCTTTGCTTCTCTTCCCCCTAAGATGTGATAATCATAATAAGATTCTTAAGGATACAACTCGAATAAAGATGAAACCAGCTCTTCTTTCAAAACCAGATCATCATGAATGAAATTTTAAGAATATCCTAATTATTTTTCTGTGTGACCAGTTGTTTCTCTATAGCATTTGTACTCTGGTCAGAACTCATATCTGGAGGGAAACCGGAAAACTGACTTATATACTATAGGAGAAGAGAAATCTTTTATTTTATTTTTTTAGCTACAGATATTTCTATAACATTTTAAATATCTAACCTCATACCTAATTTCATTTAATCTTCATAAAGACTCTGTGAGGTAGCATTGTTTTTATTCCTATTTTATAAGTGAGGAAACCAAAGTTCAAGAAATATTTAACTTGCCGAAAGTCAATAATATAGGGATAGGGGATTAAGAGGTACAAACTATTGAGTATAAAATAAGCTATAAGATATGTTATACAACATGGGAAACATAGCAAATACTCTATAATAACTATAAATGGAATATGGGCTTCCCGGGTGGCTCAGTGGGTAAAGAACTTGCCTGCAATGCAGGAGACACCAGAGATATGGGTTTAATTCCTGGGTTGGGAAGATCCGCTGGGGGAGGGCACAGCAACCCAGTCCAGTATTATGTCTTCCTCAGGGTACAGCCTCACTGACACGTACTGTCTGGGCCACCAGGTCTTGGGACAAGACTGAAAATAGGATGTGGAAATAGGAAGGACTGGAAGCTCATCAGAAAACTGACATGGTTCATGATGTAGGTCAACTCTGGCCTTTTCCCTTTATTTTTAAATTTTTTGGCCATGCTGTGAAGAATGTAGGATCGTGCGGGACCAGAGATGGAACCTGTGCACCCTGCAGTGGAAGTCCAGAGTCTTAACCTCTGGACCACCAGGGAAGTCCCTTGACCTTGTTCCTTTAAAAAGGAACCTGCTGAAGACTGCCCAGTGGAAATCAGTGGAGCAGGTCTGATAGTTAGCTATGATCTGAAGTGCTTGCTCATGACTCAACCACCCTGAGAATTCACCACTGCAAGAGATTTGGCGATTTTGACCATCATGTCATTTTACACTCTTTTTTTCCCATCAGTCATATAGCTGTTTAACTTGTATCTTTAAGTCATCATTGGTTAAATTTATGGGTTGTAAGGAATATTCATATTGAAATATAGCACATAAATAAGAACTATAAAAATGATCACTCAAAATTCACCTGATATTTTATCTTTAAAAACATAAAATAACAGCTGTGAAAATTTTAAATTTACAAAAGAGCCAAATTATAAAATTGTATAACAAATACTATACATACCATACTTTTGCCATGCCATATTTGTCATAATTGTTTCCTATCTCTTTTTCTTTTAAGATAGTAACATTTATGGATACAATCTGCAACCCCCTTCACTCTTTCCCCTTTCTTACTTCTTGCTTCTGTAGAGGTAACCACACTGAGAATGTGTGTATTTTTCCCTTGCATGTTTATGTATTGAACCTGTCTATACTGATTAATTATAAACATATGGTATTATTTTAAATTTATGTATTTTTGAAATTTATCCATACTGATTGACAAAAAGATTCTAATGTTGTAAATATTCTTCAGCACAGCACATCAAGATGTCATTAGCACTTAATTAAGCCCCTTGGAAGGTAAACACAGTTGGCTCTTCATTTCTATGGGTTCTATCCATGGATTCAACTAACTGCAGTTCAATAATATTTAGGAAAAAAAATTCCAGAAAGTTCCAAAAAGCAAACCTTGAATTCACCATGGTTATTCACCATGCACCAACAACTATTTGCATAGAATTTACATTGCATTAGGCATTGTAAGTAATCTGGAGATGATTCATAGTGTACAGGAGGATGTGTGTCTATTATATGCAAATACTGTACCATTTTATACACAGAAATTGAGCATCCATGAATTTTAATATGGGGGATATCCCCCACAGATACTGATGGAGGACATTACTTAGAATCTAGCAATAATAGTTTTATATTTTTTAAATTGGGTGGGTGTTTAGGCTCTAAACACAGGGAACAGAAACACAAATCAAAATCATCAAAGATATTTTTGTATATTTTTGATGTAGCAAAAAGTAGTTCAACTTCAAACTTCATTTTAATATGTTTATTTTTATCCCCAAATGAAATGAAGTATACAAAATGTCACTTTGAATCTGTCCACAAATTGTGTTCTTGCTTTCATAGTTAAAATTAATTCAATAATGTGAAGCACTTATTAAATGTGGGTAAGCCAAATTTGTCTTTTTAGATATGTAGCATGAATATTATTAAAAACTTTGATAAAATTAACTTGCAATGTAAACTTTAATTGCAATATATTGATCTAAAGTAACATATTTTTTGAAAAATAACATTTATTTTATGTTATATAAACATACTATGAAAAATAATTTTAAAAATTCCTTAGGCAATTCTTGATTTTATATGTAACTGAATATAGTTTGAGAATTAAAGGAGAGTAGGAGAAATCAAGACTGATTTAAACCAACCTAAAATTATACAAAAAAGACAAAGATTTTAAAATGCTCTAATTCCCATAGCACCATTCCTGACTCATACAATATTATTGTCCAACTAGCTGACTTGCTGTTAATCACCCAGCTGAGACCAAAAAATCCCAAAGCCCAAACCAACAATACACATACTCATGAACTAAATAATTGTTTATTGTTTTAAAAACTGAGTTTTGAGGTGGTTTGTTGCACAGCTTAATTAGGTAGAAATAAACTGTCACAACTAATACAGTGTCTTTTGTTGTTTGCAACCAAGAGCCCTAGATAATCAGCCTGGAAATACCTAAATTAGTTCACTCTGATGAACTGGCTTGTTCCCAGCATCTAAGCACTATTCTGTGCCCTCTCAAGATGAGCTCAGTCTATCCACCCACACAGACACTCTCTTTGAGCTTATTTCCCAGCTGATGTCCAGATTCCAGGTGAAGGCCATTATCTTAACACCCATAATCTAGGAGCTCCTTTACAGACAACTTGGCAGCTTCATCATCAAGATCACAAGAGCTAGATCTCCACTCTCCTGAAGTTCACAGCTGCCTGAATCAGTAAACGTTCGTTTCTCCATGATGATACCCCAGTCTCTAAACAATGCAGGAGACCTGTGTTCAATCCCTGGGTCGGGAAGATCCACTGGAGAAGGGAATGGCTACCCACTCCAATCCACTGGGGTCGCCAAAGAGTGGGACATGACTGAAGTGACTAACACTGTCACACTTTTAGGAGGGCATGGAGCCTCTTTTCCTTGCGGGAAGAGGTGAACAGCACAGCTGAGCAGGAAATGGAACAGTTAAAAGAGAAAGGAAAGACTCTACAACTGAAACAATAGACCAAAAAGTAAACAAATTTGTTTCTAAATCATATCCTGGTTCAGTTAATATTTACCATCTACAGCTTTGCCTTCTGTTGGGAGAACAAAGGGAGTGCCTCCAAAAGCACAATATAAGAAGCCAGAGTGAGCATCCCCCCACTGGTGTGACCACTGCTGCTCCTTCCACGACTGCTGAAGACCCAAGAAGCACAGGATGGAGAAGCTGCTTCTGGCTGTCCTGCTCCTCGCCTCCCTCCCAGAGGGCATGCCACAGAAAGGTAGGTCCTAGGTTCTGTTTGGATAAAGTTTTCCCCAAGTCTCAGGGGAACTGAGGGACAGCTCCTTGGTCACTGCTGCTGCTGTTTTGAGTAACAGGTGAATGAAGGATGGTAAAAGTCACCTATGGCAGTATTGCATCACCTTAAAATGTAGCAGCTTAAGACAACAAACATTTATTGGTCTCAGACTTTCTGCAGGTCAAGAATCAGGGAGCAGCTCAGCCGGATGATTCTGACTCTAGGTTTCTCATGAGTTGCAGTCAGTCAAGCAGAGACATCCTCTCATCTGAAGACTTGACTTGGGGAGGATCTGCTTCCTAGATCACTCACATGGTTATCGCCAGGATTCAGCCCTTACGGGCTGTTGGATTGAGGGTCTCAGTTCTTCACTGGCTGTTGGCTGGAGGCTGCCTTAGTGCCTTGCCATCTGGACCTTTCTATCAAGCAGTCTATAACATAGCAACTAGCTTCTCCAACAGTGAGAAAGCTAACAGAGAGAAAGTGCCCAGCACAAAAGGGTAGTCTTTCTTAAAAAACTAAAAATAGAACTACCATATGATCCAGCAATCCCATTCCTGGGCATATATCCAGAGAAAACTATAATTAGAAAAGATACATGCACCCCAGTGTTTATTGCAGTGCTGTTTACAATAGCCAAGACATGGAAGCAGCCTAAATGTCCTAGGAACCTAGATGAATGGATAAAGAAGATGTGGTATATATATATGTGTACAATGGACCATTACTCGGCCATTAAAAAAAATGAAATAATCCCATCTGCAGCAACATGCATGAACCTAGAGAGTGTCATACTGAGTGAAGTAAGTCAGACAGAGAAAGAGAAATACCATATGATGTTTCTTATATGCATAATCTAAAAAGAAATGATATAAGCTGACTTATTTACAAAACAGAAACAGACTCATAGACACAGAGAACAAACTCATGGTTCCTAAAGGGGAAGTGAGTGGGGGGGAGAGATAAATAGGAGTTTGGGGTTAACATGTAGACACTATTATATATAAAATAAACAATCAACAAGGACATACTGTATAGGACAGTGAACTCTATTCAATATTGTATAATAACCTATATAGGAAAAGTGTCTAAAAAAGAATGGTATGTACATGTATATACGTATACACATACGCTTAGCTGTATTCCTGAAACTGTATACCTGTATGACACAACATTGTAAATCACCTATACTCCAATATAAAATAAAAATTAAATTTAAAAAATTTAAAAAGAAATAAAATTTGGAAGCAGCTTTAAAAAAGCACCATCTTTTCATAATCTAATCTTCTGTCACTTGTCTTGTTTCTGCTGTATTCTATTCTTTAGTAGCAAGTTAGCCTACAATCAAGGAGAGGAGAACTATTTTGGACATATTTTTAAAACCACCACAGATGCTTATGAATCAGGGTATGCCTGGCATAAGGAAGCCCTGGGGCTAGAGAAAGGATAGCTGGCTATGCTCATTACATGGGAACACCATTACCTCTCACCTGAGAGAACAAAAACGGCTATGCAAAACTTTTATTAGAAAAAGAGGTTATTACAGGGGTTATGGTGGTCATTCTCTGATCCTTCTCAATCTTTTGGTCTGGGTCACATGAGAGGAAATACAAAATTTTAGAACAATCTTGGACTTTACATAGAGAACCAGTTTCTCCCAAACTAATTGAATTGCTGCTTTTGTGAAATTGCTGGTCTAATCCTCATTTTCTTCACCTATGAAATGCGTATAAGAATGACATCAAACTAGCAAAGAGTTGTTTATGAAGATTGAGTGAGATAAGTTTAAGGGAAAAAAATTATGATTCAGAAGCCCAACCAAAAAAGCTTGATTTTTATTAGCAGTTAAAGAGCATTCATGTTCTGGCAGCCTTTTTTTCTCCCTTTCTATTATATCCATTAAGCACAACCCCATCTTCTCAAGTTTGAGACACTTCTCTATTGTATCATTATCAGTAAAAAGTTATTCAAAACCCCACTCTCTGGCTAAATATGCTATTTTACTCCAGGTCTGTATACTGACAAGGTCAGACATCACGCATAGGGTGATATTTAGATCACTGACATCTCAGAAGATGATCAGCATTGGGAGAGGATGGGATGCTGCAGACTTTAACGTTTTCACTCCACGAGCCAGCTGTGCTTCATTTTCTGTGGCTGGTGTTTGTGTTCCACCTAGATGAAACCTGCAAAGAAGGTGACAGAGGGGTTGATAGAGAACATCTTCAATTCTTCTTTCTATCCGAACAACTAGCAGAACCTGCCTTTTAACACATTCTGCTTATACAAATAATGCACTGACAGGCACCTTGTAAATGCTGAATATACTCTATCAGGCAGCAGTCCACCATCTGCAATGAGAGCAAATCAAACAAGAGAACTGACAGATTTTTTGTCACCATTTTTTTTTTCTCCTCCACAGACTTGAGAGGGAAGGTGTTTATTTTCCCTAAACAATCGGACACAGCCTACGTGACCCTGATCCCCAGGGTGAGGAGGCCACTGAAGAGCTTCACCCTGTGCCTGAGAGCCTTCACAGACCTCACTCGCACCTACAGCCTCTTCTCCTATAGCACGAGGTCTAAAGACAATGAGCTGCTCCTCTTTGCCAGCAAACAGGGAGAGTATGAGCTGTACATCGGGAACGCCAAGGTCGCCTTCAAGGTCCCCCACCTCCGTCATGGCCCGGTCCATCTCTGTGTCAGCTGGGAGTCTGTCTCTGGGATTGCTGAACTCTGGGTGAACGGCAAGCCCGTGGGGAGGAAGGGTTTGAGGAGAGGGTACACTTTGGGAAGAGATGCAAAAATCATCTTGGGACAGGAGCAGGATTCATTCGGGGGAGGTTTTGATGCCAAACAATCCTTTGTTGGGGAGATCTGGGATGTGTCCTTGTGGGATCGTGTGGTCCTCTTAAAGAGCTTGTGTCCCTTCTGTTACATCGGCAACATCTTGAACTGGAGGGCCCTGACTTATCAAGCTAAGGGCTATGTGGTGGTGAAGCCCAGGTTGTAGGCTTAAGCCTCACTCCCTTCAGACATGACTTGTGTTTGATAATGAATATCTACATTGTCTCTTTGAAATTAAATACATTGATTTCAATTTTTCTGGCTCTGTTACAATGCTGTAAACTACATTAAAGACACAAGGGTCAGGTAGACCTGTAGTATGCAGTCTTTCTTGTTGCAAACATTACAACATTTTATGCAGCATCAAGCTATAGGAACTCCAGGGAACACACTGCTTTCATCACGTGTGTCAATCTTCTAGAGCCCTGGACAGTTCTGGGAGGACTCACGGGGGTTCTGAGTGCAAATAGTTCATCAGTCTATAAAAATGATGTGACCACTGGGAGGGGCCTTTAAGGAATGGGTTGCTTTCATGAGCAGGACTGCTGAAGAGAGAATCTCCAATGGGGCTTTCTCAGAAGCAAGGTTGTGAGTGTTCCCCTTGCACCTAGCCCAGAAAGGATTCAGAGGTGTTCTCAGGGAACACAGATGAAGGCAAAGATTAATTGCCTTGAAGACCCCTCTTCTCATTCACTCTCTGCAGGTAGTTGCTCTGGGGAGGGAATGCTTTTATTGTTTCAGGTAATGTTCCATAAACATGAAGACTTCCCTTCTTGGCTCTGGTGCCGTTAGGGATTCTCAAGTCCTTTGACAGGCACTTTCAGTGCATCCTCGATGGGGACTCTTCGACTGTCCTCAAGAAGAAGAGAGATGGTGGATGGATGACCTGAATTAATTTTTTTCCTTTTCAATATCAGCCCTTTATGGACTGGAAGGCATTTGACAAGTTCTGCCTCTTTTGAACATCAAGTCAAATCACCCTACGGTCTTAAACCTTTCTCTCAAATCAATACAATTGTCCCTCTCAGAAGGCAATAACAATAAGATTCCCAGACTCTTGTTTAGACAAGTGTTTGATCTCAGAGTTTGAACGAGGTACCCAGCAGTTCACAGAAAATGAGTTCATCAGTGTAGAAATGAATAGGGCAAAGGCAAGACCCAGGTATCACCCTGGGCTCCACGTAGAGATGAGTGAAAATCATGGGATAATTTCCAGATTTGAGACAGCCAGAGTTAGCTGGTATTAATAAATTTAATTTTTTTTTTTTTTTTTTTCCTTTGGCTGTACCACAGTTTGCAGGATCTTGGTTCCCCAACCAGGGATCGAACCCAGGTTCCTGGCAGTGGAATTGTGGAGTCCTAACCACTGGACCATCAGGGAAGTCCCTTATCAAACTTAATTTAAGAACAGATCTTCAGATATCCCTACTCTTGTGAATACATTACAGCATATATGTTACTCCCAGAAAAAGCATGGATAACTCCAATGAAATTCAGCTGCTGGGTGTGATGGTACTTTTTTGGTTTTGGGTTTTTTGAGATTTTATTTTTCTCCCCACAAAATTCTGGGTCAGACCTAGAGAATATGTTTTGGTCAAGATGATGTTATAGCCCTTAGTGAACCCTTTTATTTTTTTAAATTAATTTACTTTAATTGGAGGTTAATTATTTCTCAATGTTGTGGTGGTTTTTGCCATACATTGACATGTCAGCCATGGGTGTACATGTGTCCCCCTATCCCAAACCCCCTCTCCCCTCCTTCCCCACCCCATCAGTCTGACCCTCTGGGTCATCCCAGGGCACCAGTTTTGAGTGCCCTGTTTCATGCATTGAACTTGGACTGGTCATCTATTTCGCATATGGTAATATACATGTTTCAATGCCCTTCTCTCAAATCATCCCACCCTTGGCTTCTCCCACAGAGTCCAAAAGTCTGCTCTTTAAGTCTTTCTTGCTGTCTTGCACATAGGGTCACTGTTACCATCTTTTGTTACTTTGTATTAACATATAAATACACAAAACTCACCCAGGAAACAGTCTCAAGGTGAACTTCAACAAAATTGAGGGAAAAATGTCATGGGTCTCCAGGGCAGGTGAGAATGTTAGGCTGATAATATTTCTTCTGGAATGTCAGAGTCTGTTACTCTTCCACTGCCCAAAAGAAAAAGTGATGATAAATAAGAAAGGTGGTTTTGACTGTGCTTTCAACACATCCTGTTCACTGACCACATTCTCTCTAAGGTTTTAGAACTCAATATCTACTTGACATTTTAGTTGATCTTTCAACCCATTGCTTCAAGCAGGTGTTACACAGTCCACTTTTCTGCCATTAACAAAGTGGAAACAATCAGCCACCCTCTTGCTTATTATTCCCTACCAGCTTTCCTCCTGGTGAGCAGCACCTGACCATGTCCCTGGCAGTAACCTCTCAGATGAACAGAGAGTATTGGAGAATGATGTTAAAAACAAAACTCAAGTCAGGGAAACTCTTAATTCTTTAATTTAGGCTTGCCACCAAATTGTGCAACTCTGTCTAGGTAGAGGAAGAATGATAGGATCAATTTTTTTGTGTGTGATTACAAAAATACCCAGAATATGACAGGCTATATATCAAACTACTAAAGATTCGAAGCAAGAGGTTTTTTGCCAATAGCACGGCAAAGAGCATCTTTGACCTCTTTGTTCCTTAGAGTGTACACCACAGGATTAAGGAGAGGAGTGAAAACCGTGTAAGTCACTGAAATCAGCTGGTCCTGATCCCTCATGTTCTCTGACTTGGGCTTGAGGTAGGCAACTGAGGCACAGCCATAGTGGACAATGACCACAGTGAGGTGGGAGGCGCAAGTTGCAAAAGCCTTCTTCCGGCCCTCCGCAGAAGCAATCTTGAGGATGGTGGAGATGATGAGGATATAGGAGATGAAGACCAAAACCATGGGCACCACAATGACGAGTGAGCTGACAAGGAAATTAATTATGTCATGTATAGCAGTGTTGACACAGGAGAGTTTCATAACCGGGCGGATATCACAGAAATAATGGGCCACCTTTCTGTAACAAAAGGGCAGCCTGAACACAGAGGAAATCTGAATTGTGGCCACAAACAACCCGATGCTGCAGGCCCCCCATACCAGCTGGGCACACACCCTCTTGTTCATGATGATCATGTACCTCAAGGGGTTGCAGATGGCCACATAGCGGTCATATCCCATTGCTGTGAGCAGAAAGCAGTTGTTGATGGCCAAAGTAATAAAAAAGAACATCTGGGTGGCACAACCAGCCAAGGAGATGGATTGGCTCAGGCCTACGAGACTGGACAGCATCCGAGGTACAATGACCAATGTGTACAAAGTCTCTGAAGTGGAAAGCATAGTAAGAAAGAAGTACATGGGGGTGTGAAGGTGTCGATCAATGCTGATAATTGTCACAATGATGACATTACCAGACAAGGTTAAAAGGTACAAGGTAAGGAAAACCACAAAGAGGGTGAGCTTGTGTTCATGAAGACTGGTAAAACCCTGGAAAATAAATTCCCTCACCCCTGTGTGGTTCTCTGTCTTCATTGATAAATTCCAGGAAACTTAGGACAAGCAGTCAGAATACATCAGCGCCCACTGCTCTGAGCAGGAGAACACAAAGGCAAGGAAATAATTAGGATCTGCTCCTGATAGATGCCTGGTTAATGGGGACTGCTCTTCACCTGTAGGTAAAAGATAGAAAAACACAGTCAGGAAACAATTTCATGTATGGAGACTTATACAAAAGAATGAATGGAGATGGGATGAGATGGAAGGAAGGAAGGCTGGGTCAAATGTGAAACAGGTTTCCTGGTATGTTGGAAACATAGATGTTGGGGGAAATGGAGGCTGGAGAAATAGGGAACATGCAGTTAAATTTGGAAAGATTTTCTTTGGATTACAGTTTCAGATTTTTTTTAACTTAATGTTCTAACTTTGCCCACAACCCTTCCTCTGTTGTTTAAGGCACAGTTTTTATCATTTCCTCAAACATCTTCCCTGTTAAGTTGCCAAACAAGACAACACTATCTGCTCCAAAAAGACAGAAGTGTTTGCTTTCTCCCTGTCCTACTTGTTTGCATCTTTCATGAACCCTTTTCACAAATCATTCAATAGCTTCCAATCTGATGGTCCCCGACCCCACCCCCACACCCGCCACATACACATGTTTTTGTTAACAAGCCACTTTGCTTTCTTTATTTTCCAAGACTCCTCTTGCCCAGCAAGGCTTCTCAGAACTAAATACAACCTATCAATCCAAGCTGTCTGTAGTGTAATTCAATTGCTCAGGGCTGCACTGTAACTGGTTCTCATGGGCAGTGTGTAGTTCTGTGTGTTTTCTGCCTTACGTTTGGATTTGGATTTCCACAGGCGGTTTGACTCACTATAAAGTCTGAATTATCTTTTCTGATGCCTTCAGAATTATAAACAGGTTTCTTAGGGAAAGCAGTTTGCACATGTATTTCCTACTGGGGAGTTACTGGGGATCAGAAAGTTTTCATTAATAAAAATGTTTAATAACAATAATATCAATAATAATAGTCCCTTTTGTCACTTTTAGTTTAGATAATTTTTACCAATATTATTTAACAGCATAGCAATCTCATATGTTAGGTAAGAATTACCTCCATTTTGCAGATGGGGAAGCTAAAGACACATTGGATTAGGTGATTCAGCCATAATTATTAAGTCTTAGATCCACACTTTTAATTTTAAAACCAATGTAACTTGTTCTGCACCATGACTGCCTGAGAAATGTCAAGATTACAAAGCAGATGAGGAAGAAGATATTTTTGTTTTGCTTTTGGTAAAAATAATTAATGCATTTTCCTCACTCTGAGAATGAGATTACATTAGGAAAAACTTGGGAAAGCTGAAAAACTATGTGAAAACTAGAAAAATTTGGAAGTGTCTAAACAAGGATATGAAATACTAGCATATTAGTGTCAATGCATGTCCATTTTCCTTGGCTTTACATTCCACTTCTAATTATTTATTTTAAGGAAATTATCAGAGACAAGCACCTGGATATACAAAAAGCTTTTATGATATTATTTATAATACAGTAATGAATACCAAAAATAATGTATGATTAAGTAAGTTATATCAATATACTGGCAACCAAACAGACATTATATGTCTAAAAAGGGCTGATATGGAAAGATAGATACATAGACAGATAAATAGATCAAATTTTGTAAAAAGAAAAGGAATTAACAAAAGAATGAAACACATTCAA